GCATCCTGGCACTTTTCTCCCTGACATCCCGGCCCCTGGGCTCCTTGGATGTTTCGAGAGAGGATCCGGCGGCCCAGCCGGAATTGCTGCTTCTCCCTGCCACCCGCCCAGTGTCCGGAGCGGCCGCGGGGTGGCGGATGGCTGGGGAGCGCAGGGCCCGTGGATCCCAGTGGATTCCAGGTTCGGGGCTCCTGGGCAGGTGGGAGGAGGCCTGAGGAGGAAGGCAGGGACAGGGTGACACACCAACAACGCCCCCGGGATGGGAATCCAGCCTTAGGGGAATGGAGCGCCCCCCACATGGCATCACGCTGGGGCGCCTGAAAAGCCAGAGGGTTAGCCAGGCTTTTGGGGGGCTGTTTGTTCCCCAGACTCAAGCAGCAACTGGCATTGCCATTCTGGAAGCCGGAGTCTCCCTCGCTGCTGTGGCCCAACCTTGAGGTTGGAGGCAGCTGTGCAGACTCAAGAGGGCACTGATGTTTGGGGGGAAGGAGGGGTACGAAGTGAGGAAAGGGGAGCATCTTCTTTCTCTTCCCTCCCCTGACTTTTTCCAAAAAAATCTGCTTTTCCTGGAGAAACTGATAGCTTGCTAATCAATCAATCATCTCCTCCTCCCGCCTCCCCCTTGGCAGCTGGGAGAATTCAGTGTAGGCTCCTCTGTGCAACAGGAACTCTGAGTGCAGAGCCAATGAATCGTTTCCCAGAGGAGAATTTTCTTAAAAACATGGACGAATCCCAATGGATCGGAGCAACAAGCTCCTGTGTGAGGGGACTGAGGCCTCCGGATCCACCCTCGGTGATCTGAGTCCTGGCCAGGAGGCTCCAGCCTGGAACCGCCTGGCTGACCCGGAGGCTGGAGGGGCCGGGTCTCCATTAACCCTTCTCCGGCTGGACCAGCGAAGGTTAACTGCACTAATAGACCAAAGGGGCTGCAGCAAAAAAAGGGAAAAAATGAAAAAGAAAAAGGCAGGCAGGCAGGCAGGGAGAGGCACTCTGGTGAAGGCACTGGGAGCTCTCTGCTCTTCCCTGGTCTCCCCCTGCCCCCCTACCTTCCTGTGAAGCAGGTTTCCATTCAGAAAGACAACAGTCTGGGCCATGAAGGCGGCCACTTCCTGGACATGGACTTTGGGAAACAGGAAAACACGATGTAGCGAGGTATTTTCTTCCATGTATCCGAGCGCCCGGTTCACCTTAACTACATTGCTAACATGCACACAATAGATTATAGTGGGGGGGGGTTCCCAAAGGCCCCGCACCCCATATCTAGTTTACCTTCCTTCATTTAAGCTCATTGAGTCTTGTTGGTGCCCCCCCTGGTAGCCATACAAGTCTGGATGAAAGCAAGGGGTACATGCTGCTGACTTCAAACCTGGTGGCGTTGGAATAGCCCCTCGGCCATGAGCGTGAAGGTGTGCGTGCCTGGGTGTGAGAGGGTCCACGCTGGGTTCAAGGTTCAGACACTCAAGCTCCAGGGAGGGGCTGTCACTCATGTGTCCATGGGGAGGTCTGGCAGGAGGCAGAGCGGAAAGGAGTTTTTGCATGAGCTCTGGGACTCACTGCTGGAGGGGGGGGGGTACAGGCTGGAGCCAGGTAGTGGGGGGCTAAGC